TTAATTTATACAAAAATAATTTTATTAATTTTTAATTATTTATTAAATTTATAAATATAAAAGATCAAAATCTAATTATATATAATTTAAATTTAATGTTTTTAATTTTTTATATTTTATCTCATCATTAATTATTACATTTATATCTAAATAAATATTTCGTTATTATTTTTAATTTTACTACCAAACACCTAATATTATTATTATAATAATTAATCTTACAGTCATTTTTATTTTTAATTTCATCATTAATTTAAATAAATTTTAAATTTATTAAATATTATTTTTTATAAATAATTTCATGTAACTATGTTTAAAATTAAATTTTAATAAAATTGATCATCAAATTCATTTAATTTAATTAATAATTGGTTATAAAATTAATTTTTATTTGAAAATAAATTTCATGATATAATCTAAAATGAAAAAAAAAAAAGAAAAAAACGGAGTATCGTTGACGTGTCTTTGGTTTTGAAAAACACGGCAATGCCCTCGTTTTCGCGTACGAGTCTCCATCCATATGACGCTTTTTTTTTTTACTACTGACTAACCAAAGCAACATCTGCCCAAGTCTCAAGGACTTATTATTATTTTGTGTGTGTGTGTTGTGAGAGAGAGAGAGAGATGTAGTGTTATTATGTTCAAAATCATTGTCTTCTCGAGTTTTAACTTTTAACCATAAGTTTCTTACTCATCATTGTCCGGATTAAGACAAAAGCCCGTGGGTTACCCACGAGTCATTGGCTCGTGTGTCTTCTTTACCCTCTAAATTACAAACAAAATTCATCCCTTTTTGTCTCGTTCACTCTCCTTCAATTTGTCAACTTTCGTATGATTGATTGGTAAATCGAGTGGTAGAGAATTAAATTTTTAGCTTTAGTGATGGAAGTTCAATCTGCATAACCTCAATTTCATTCGAATTAGTCTGTAATAAAATTAAAGTTAACCATTAAAATTGTATAAAAAGCTCCCAGGAGGGAAAAAGGTTTCATCACATCACAGTTGCATTTTATGATTCAACTCACGGATAGATAAAAATCACTTTCACCAAGCTGACAAGGGATCATAAATGGGATTCATTATTTCGTTTTGCACTGTTAAAACTTCTATTGGACTAGTACATTACTGCTGTTCTTTTTGTATTTGTTACAATGAAATAAAAGTGCTAAGTACTAACAGAGTAAGAAGCCATCCCAAATGAAAATGTGCAAAATTTGTAGCATTACAATGGCCTCCTTTCACAAGGAAAACACATAAAGCAAAGTTCTGCAAACTCTTAACTTAATCAAAAAAGGAAAAAGAAAGTGCCTAGAAAAATTCCATGAAAAACATGGAAATACTAGGCACTAAAAAAGAAAAGCAAAACAGGATGATCAACCAATAAAAAATGTCTAATGGCTCCTGCAGCAAGTTCTTTTTGTCTCAAAAAGTTGCAGTGATTTCAAGCACAGCAAAACCATTTTCTCTGCATTGGAATAAAAGAGAAGGAAGTTAGTAATCAAGAGATGTTTTCATGTGAGATGAAAATTGAATGAATCCCAAGAATCTGTGAATTTAAGGTCGGACCTTAATGGAAAATTTATGTTTGTTTCTCTCCTTATATGCAGCATGTTTTTGCTGTGGTTTTGCAGCCTCAGTGGTTACAACTGAAACATTCTCACCAGTCCTCTTCTCATCTCTAGCTTTGTTAAATATGGCTGTGAATCCTTCAGCTGAGGCTGGATCTTTTACATCCCATTCACCAAATTTTGGTAGAGGCTGTCTCTTTTGATACTGCAAACATGGAAGAATAACAGATTATTTATCAAATCAAAGCAAAAAAAAAAAAGTTTTTTGAAACAATTATGGCATTCCCCTTTTATTACTCTTTCTGGGTTCGTTTGTTTCCAGAAAAGAACGTAGTAAAAAGAAGAGAAAAGCTATCAAATTGATCCAAAAAGAATTGCCTTTTTTTTCACAACCATTTCTTTTAGTATGTGATAATGAAACTGAAAAAAAAAAAAAAAAAAAGGCAGAGAACAAAAGACCCAGAAAGAAAAAGAAATTCTTGGAGAAAAGAAAAGGAGGGGAAGAGAATCTTACAGATGACATGATTGAAGAGTTTTTGTGGATTTACTGATTGATGATTATGATGAGGATATGAAAGAAAATTCAAATATGTGTGGATTTATATCAGGAATTTTGAGGTTTAAAGGTCGTCGGAGAATTTCAAAATAGGTTTGATTTTCCACACGGATCAAACTCGTCCAAGACGCGTGATCTTCCCATTTCATTTTCTCTTCTTTTTTCATTTTTGACTCTGTTTCTACAGAAAGGGATACTCTGCCTTTGTCCGTTTGATTTTACGCGGTTTGAAACGGTGGGCTTTAAAAGGGTCGTGCTAGTAAGAATTTAGATACGTCTAAAAATTTGCATATACGTATAATGTTTTTTTCATCTTAAATACATATAAAATACGATAATTATATATCTCAATTCTCAGTCTAATGACGGTGATGAATAGTGCCATACAAGCCATCAAGCTAGTTTGTTCAATGCATGAGAAGCCATGAACACGATAACACTAAAAGATATGTTACATATTTATATTTTCAATTCTGTCTATGATCTATATAGCAAATTGCAGATCCTCAATGTCCCACTTCAGACAAAAGAGGCACAATGCAAATTATTGCCTTTGAAAGTTCGATCCTTACATTTTCTGCGGTTTCTAAAAGTGCTATCCCACAGAATGTACATGGTGGTAAGAATATGAATACCAACCTATTACGCAACATGATAAGAAGAGTTAGATGAGGAAAAAACAAAAAGAATGGTAAAGAATGACTACCATGTTTATCTTATTGAGAAAAACAACACCCACGCGCAGCAACCACACACAAAATAACAAGCTCAAATCAAAAATAAGAACACACAAATATATTTGGTTCGACCCAACTCAAAATGGCCTACTCCAAACTTAATCCACTATCAAATAAATCTTTACAATTGTGAGACTTTTAGAATGAGAAAAGTCTCCTAAAACTCCTTACTCAAAACTTAACCCAAAACCCAATTACACCCTTTAATAGCCTACTCACTTAGCTATTCTCTTAGTGTCTAACTCTCTAGTTTTACTAAACTAAAACCAAAACATCTTATTTATAGAGGTGAAACCCTTTATACCTTTACTAAATTCTCGATGTGGGATACAAGATAAATTCAAACTTACTTAACTTTCGATATGGGATTCTGAGATTGAAAAATTGTGCTCAATTTCATATGTGGCAATTCCGCCAAGATCTCTTCGTTAGTTGGGGGAAGAATCTGCACGAATCGGATTTTTTTAGGAACATATCGAGAGAGAATTGGATTTGGTTAGACAATGTATGGTTGGTAAACAGGGATCGATTTTTTAGCAAGGTACGGAATGTATCGTCAAATATTCAATATTATTTAAGGCAAATCCCAACAAATCCTCCCTTGATTTGAATCTCCAAATACTTCAACAGTATCTGCAAAGCTAACATGCTTACCTTTCTTCTTTTTTTCATCACAGGCATTCCAGCAACTGAGCTTCCATCAAACATGTACAAGTGATTGACCCTATTCCCTTGTAGAATCACACTACCATTCTTGTACACTTTTAACCAATCATTACTACCATAAAATGTGTACCCTGAGAAGCTAACTCACCCAGAGCAATCAAATTGTAGTGACAATTTGGTACATACCTTACATGACGAAGTGTCCTAATAACACCATTGTGAGATCTAAGGCGAACACTCTCAATGCCTTGAATCTGCACTTTTTCTTTGTTAGCAACCACAATATCCCCATACTTTTCATTCTCATTCAACTCCACAAAGCAGCTCCTATCATTGCAAACATGAACTGTAGCAGCTGAATCTAAAACCCAACCTTTATCACTTTTCAAAGTCTGGGTCTCATCCACACAAGTTGTCAAAACAACATCATCATCATCAGACAAGACAGCAGCAGTATCACTCTTTTCTTCATCTGATTTCTTCTCATCATTCGCCCTTTTGAAAGCAACCATTTCCCTTCTCAGCTTCCTGCAGCGCACTTGGATATGTCACTTCTTACCACAATAATAACATTCTACATCACTGTAATCTCTGTCTCTTGACTTGGATCTCCATCTCGATCCATTAATCCTCTTTTGAGTCTTCCCTCAATCAAAACCCTCTACAGCTAGTGTACTCTCCTCAGGTGATGAGTTCTGAGCTCCCATAAACCTTTCATTCTCACGCAACAGGGCAGTCACATCATCCAACTTCAAAGTAGACTTGCCTACCAATACAGTCTGAACTAAAGGCCTATAAGACTTGGGCAAAGATGACAGCAAAATTAAAGCTTTTTCATTGGATCTTTATGCTTTTTTTTCATTGGATCTTTATGAGAGGGTTTCAGTTTAGATCCGCGCCAAAGTTTCAGGCGAAAAGGAGATAGGATCTTGATCTGGATACCTTCTGATAACCAATTTTTTGGAAAGTCTTTTGTGGAGAATTGAAGACCATTATAAGTGCATTTAACATGTATTTCTCGCTTCCAAACCTTGAAATCCGTGGACCGCTCAGGAATTTGAAATAATAATATACGGACAATGTTTTTAGCTATTATCAATGAAGGTAATAGAATATATTTTCTAAAAATCGATTGGGCTATTAACATGATGCCCCTTGGTCCTTGACCAAAAAAGACGATATCCCAAAATTCTGCTGCGTCCAGCAAGCAAGAAGTCATCTGCCTCTTTTTTGTCTCCTTTTTGTATCTCTTCTATGCTTTCTCTTCTTTTTACCACTTGTTGGGAAAAACAACACACGCGCGCAGCAACCACACACAAAATAACAAGCTCAAATCAAGAATAAGAACACACAAATATATTTGATTCGGCCCAACTCAAAATGACCTACTCCAAACCTAATCCACTATCAAATAAATCTTTACAATTGTGAGACTTTTAGAATGAAAAAAATCTCCTAAAACTCCTTACTCAAAACTTAACCCAAAACCCAATTACACCCTTTAATAACCTACTCACTTAGCTATTCTCTTGGTGTCTAATTCTCTGGGGTTACTAAACTAAAACCAAAACATCTTATTTATAGGGGTGAAACCCTTTATACCTTTACTAAATTCTCGATGTGGGATACAAGACAAATTCAAACTTACTTAACTTTCGATGTGGGATTCTGAGATTCAAGGCAAATCCCAACATATCTATAATACAATTTTAAGGAGCAGATTGGAAATGAGGATCGATGATAGCGAACTTTGTTACAAAATAGTTCCCAGTAGCCATATGTGCAGGAGAAGACAATAGGCAATTAGGCCTAGCCTTGCTCTGGGACGACTGCTTAGAACTCGGCCACCAGATACCCTGAAGCAATTAAAAACAGATAAAATATCATTACAAACGAATAAAATACATAGAAGGCAAGCACTAAAATCCCTCTATGGAAAAATAGTTTCCCGTTCCCTGATAATTTGGGTTGAACATTTTACCAAATTCCATCGACTCGAATCTGCAATCAACTTTCCTTGTTTTGGTATCAGACCAGATGTGTTGAGAGACTTGAACAATCGACCTGCCAAACAAAGGACACGCTTAAGTTCTGTAAATTCTGAGACATATATCGATCAGAAGTTATTTTTCTTAAAAAATATTCTAGAATGCCAACCTTTGTCCTCGTCAGTTTCCTCACTGTTGATCAGGCGATCAGATTCCGAGCCAATATTTAGTGCAAGATGGTCTGTTGATCCTTTTCGCATGGTTCGCACGTGAGCAGCCGAGGCCACAGGAGTTATTGTATTCTTTCCAAGTGATCCCTGCGTAAGCATCAAAAAGTAATCAGATTTCCTAACAGCATAATCTGCAGGGAAGTATGATACTATCAGTAGAATCAAACAGATAGAAAGACCTACAATAATGGTATTGACGACTGAGAATCCCGCATTTAGCTTTAAATTTAGAGAGAGATAGATGCTTCAAATTTATAAAAGTGCTTCTATTTGGGAGCAACATCATCATCATAAAATTAAGCAGTATATTGACAGTAACATCAAAACATGATTATGCATTTAACAGTCTGTGATTAGTAAACACCTTTTTATTTTCTTTAACACCTATAATTTTACCACAAACTAATCAAACATTTTCATACTACTTCATCAAACATGCATAACACAAATCCTGATTTCCGTAGATCCATCTGCTCCCACCATCTCACACAAAAGTTTTCCTTGGAAGTCATGCTTAAATCCACATTCACTTGCCATGTGGCATTCTCAACAAAAGAGGATTGAAAATTCAAGCATCACTTTGAAGATGTTCCAATTATTTGACCACAAATAGATTCATCACTAATATATCTATATAATATATATATATATATATTATATATATATTATAGCCTTTAAAATTCATAAATTTAAGTTCTCTGAGATTCACTATGATAGCCTTAAAAACATTCTAGGTTCAAGGAAGCTATACAGGACGGCAATAATGAAGCAGATTCATTCACAAAACATAGATCTATTACATTGCACTATGACTAAAGAACCATCCATACATATAAATTTTCAATCTAACGGTAAGAGATACCCAGAGGACTATTTAAACCACCATATATGATAGTATACCTTTTAACTAAAATTATCCTAAAAAATGCACTCAATATCTGCCTCACAATGCAAAAATTTGAAGTCACGAAAACTCAAATGCTAATCGAACAAAACAAGCTAACAATATATGTATCAAACCACAGACAGTTAATAGTGACAAGATCAAGTTAATAAACATTAATTACAGAAATGTGCAAAAAAAAAAAATTACCACATCTTCAACTTCAGATATTTCTGACCCAGTGGGTGCAGAAGGTGCATCAAAAATGCTCCTTTCCTGTACAATCTCAGGCTGAGCAGTCCCCCCCTGAAGAGAATCTTCAAGTAACTTAACCTTGGTTGACAATTCATCCACAACCTTTTGGCTTCCAAGCAACTTGGTACCAAGTTCCTGTGCTTTGGATTTTGAATTTTCGGCCTCCAACAACAGGGCACTAACCTGCTTTTCTAAAACAGGCAAAAGTGCTTTCACACCAACAGAATTTTGGCCTCCAATAAACTCTTTACCTCCCAACACAACAATAATCTTTTCCAAACCAATTGTAACCTCAGACAGCTCTATTTTCATCTCTTCCAAGTCTGGCATATTTCTAACATGTGTCCCAATTTCTTCTTTCAGATGCTCAATGTCAAATATCTGTCTTGAAAGTGTAGACTGTAGTTCTTCCTTCTCATAAGATAACAAATATATTTGATTCTGGAAATCAGTGAAACTATCAATAACAGAGAATAGTTTCTTAACATCAACTGAGCTGTGCGGCTCCAGGTCTTCTGACTCTTCAATAGGAACTTCAATCCCACTTAGCTTGTCCAATAGAGTTCTTACTTGAGATGCTGACAAGAGAGGCTCTTCAGCTTCTGCAACAATTGAAAAATAACTTCATAAAGAGTACTAGCAATTAACAATCAAAAGCACAAGATTAACAAAGTGAGAGGGGAGACGTTTACCTTTTTCTTTCGTCAACAAATTATTGTACAATGACAAAAGTTCTGCCTCTTTTTCTTTCCATCTGTCCTCTTTGGCTTGATAATCCTCTACCTTAAGCCTCCCTTCTCTGCATGAATCTTCCAACACTTCTATCTCACTCTCCAACTTGAAAACCCTATTTTGATATACATCTCTTTCTTCAATGGCTTTCTCCTTGGCTCTTCTGGCATCTTCCAATTCTTTCTGCAAATCATGAATGACAGTGGCCACTGCTTTACTTGTAGTTTCGAAAAACTTCACCACACCCTGAACTTTTCTAGTAGCAGTCAACAATTTCTCTGCTGTCTGAGCATATCTGTTGCCACTATAGCCTTGCTGAGCCATGTCATCTCCAACAAATTCTCCTGCTTCTGGATGCAAACCATGGTTCAATTTTTCAAGCCCAGCTACAGAGCTGAGTTCAATAAGATTGTTCTTGACTTCAAACTGCAGGTCTCCAGTTGCATCTGCACATGCAGAGAGTAAAATTGAAACATCATTCTGTAACATGCCTAAAGCCTTCTCCTTTTCTTGTTCACCGCATTTCCAGGATTTTGACATTTTGTTTCAAGGATTCCATGCTCTCAACCATACTTTTTACCTCATCCTTTGTGCCCTGCAATTTTTTTAACAGGGCTGCTATTGACTCATCTAGGAAGGTTGAAAAACCTTCAAACCTATCAGCAAGGATTTTGTTTCGCAACTGGAACCCTTCTGCAACCCTTCTAAAACATGAAGAAACATCACCAGCATTTATTGCATTTATTTCATCATTCTCCATTTCAAAGTTCACGGTATTATCAATAACATCAGAGAAACATCTTGCTAGATTAGCAATATCCTGTGATAAATGAAAAGAGACTATTAAAAAATAAATAAATTCTTCACTCATTCAGGAAGTTGAGGAAAGAAAGTGATTCAATGTCCACAAGACAATAAGTAAAAGAAAAAGGAAAGTTCGGCATCACCTCCATGAATGGATAACCTTGTACCTGTTCCAAATCCTTGTCAAACAAATGCTCCCTTGTGTTTTTAATGGTAAGATCCAAATCTTTAAGGCGCTCCAAGTTCCTTTCAAAGCATTGTTTCATTGTAGACAACAAACTTTGGTCTTTGGAAAGCATTTGAAGATTATTGAGATGACCAATCAAGTCTATGGATCTGCTTGCTAAGCTGCCACTGCTTCCAGCCAACTCTTCCATGCATGCATTCAGTTTGGAATTAAGAGTCGATATCTCCAGATCAGCAGTTCTTTTTTCGCCTTGAAGCACAGAAAAGTCATTTTCAGCCTTAGCCGACGCATCTTCTAGCAATTTTATGGTTGTGCCAGCATCTGCCAGCTTGCCAACCTGGGTCTCAATTTCATCTTTTAGTTTCTTCAGCTCATTCTCCAAGTTGGTTATTTCCACTTGTGCATTGTTCCTTTGTTCAGTTAGTGAAGCAACAGTCGTCTCTGCCTGAGAAAGTGCATTTTCTAGTGACTTTATAGTGTTATATGCCTCTGTGAGTCTGCTGGTCTGAATAGCAACTTCTTCTCTCACTTTCTCCACTTCCATCGCTGCAGCAGCTCTGCTACCTTGAACCCCCTCTTTCTCACTGATAAGTAATGATATTTTATTTTCTGCCACTGACAATGCCTCTTCAAGTGACTTTCTAGCCTCACAAGTCTCAGCAAACTTGTTAGTTTGTGAATGAGCTTCTTCAATTGCTTTCTGCAACTCTATTTCTATATTTTTTTTACCAAATTCCATCTCCCTTTTCTCTTCAGCAAGTTGAGACAAATCATTCTCTGCAACAACCAATCTGTCTTCCAGTAATTTCATTGTTTCTTGGGCTTCTGCTAACTTGACAGCCAGGTTACTAGCCTCTTCCTTTACTTCCCTCAATTCTTGATCAGTCTGTGTCTTTGCAGTCTGACAATTATCAATATACCGAGCAAGCCAGTTCAGCTTCTCTACAGGCTCTTGGCATGCTGAATCAACTGGAATAACAATGCAATCAATCGATTCAACTACTCTCTGCAATATGCTATTGCTCTCAAGTAAGAATTTCTCAAGTTGATCGCTTTCCTCTTTCATAGCTGCCAGGTCACTTTCCAACTTTGGGATGCGCTCTAAATCAGTAGACAAAGTACTGATCTGATACCTGCCCTCTGCAACTTTAGATTGTTGCTGTTGTAACTCAAGCCTCAGCTTCTCAATTTCAGAGTTCTTTTCCTCAATAAGAAGTTTCAAGTTTTCCCGATCTTGAACCAAACCCTTTCCTTTCTTAACTGCCATTGACAACTTCTCCCTCAACAGACCAGATTTCTCCTCTGATCGTTCAAGATCTTTTTGCAGAACATCTTTCTCCTCTTTCAGTGCAAAGAGTTCCTCAGAAGTTACTCTGAACTGATTTGACAGATCACTGAACCGTGACTTCACCAGCATATCTTCTTCTAGTATGTCCTTAGAAAGCACCAACTCAAGATCCCTAACATACAAGAGACTTTGAAGTTTTTCAAATAGTTCAGCATCCATAATCTCCAAAGTTGCACTCTTTTGTTCTTTTATTTTCCCAAAGCACCTATCTATTAGCATGGGTAAATTAGAAGTCTCTTCAATCCCTTCTCGATCCCTCATCATTATTCCAGAACCCTCTACCAACATCCTTAACATCTGATCTTTCTCTGATGAAAGTTGATGGACCTTCTCAACTACTTTTTCATATTTACTTTTGACGTCGTCCAACTCTTTTTGAATATAATCCTTCTCTGTTAGTTCTGCTGCAAGTGAAGCACTTAAATGATCCTTGTCCGATGATATCTGACGTGCCTTGCTAACAATTTCCTCATATTTACTTCCGAGGTGATCTAACTCTTCCTTAATGTAATCCTTCTCTTGTTGTACAGATGAAAGTGAAGCACTCAAGTGATCAATCTCATTACGTGAAGCTTCCTTTGTTCTAGCAATTTCATTTTGCAACATATTTATTTCATCTTTAGCCTGGTAAAAAGATTCCTTAAGCCAAACCAAGCGAGAATCTAAATCAGAAAAGGAGATATTTTCTGGTAAATCAATTGCACAAATGGTACCTTTCAATCTGTAGAAGTCCAAAGAAACACCCTTCAGTTCATTTCTTTCATTAGCAAGCCATCTAGCTCTTCCAACAATATCCACTGATTGGAGTTCCTCAGGTACATCAATCAGGGATAGGATGCGTTCAAATGTCTCAAGAGTCAAGGTCTTTTGTGATAGTGATTCTTGCAATGATGCAACCAAATTTTCACTATTCACCAACTCTTCCTTGTGTAATGCTAGGGCACTAGACTTCTCTTGCAATTCAATCAGACATTGCTCAAGCTCACTTGTTTTAACCAACCAGAGACTGCTTCAAGGTGTCGCACTGCTGAACCAATGCCTTACCTTTCGTCACAGCCATACTTAGCTTTTCCTTAGTATTAGCACACCTCACCTTTTCCTGCTCAACCTCTGTCTTTGTTTTTCCAAGCTCGGAATTTAGCATCTCCACTGTCGCTTTCTCACTTTCAACTTGTTCAAGCAATTTACTATTTTCATCCTCCAGAAGACCTATTTTTTCAACCAGCTCTTCTTCCTTTCTCCTCAACTCAAATAACTCATCACGGGCAGCAACAAATACAGTCCTAAACTCCTGCACACCAAAATGGCACTCAGCCTTTGCCAAACACTGCCTAAGTTGGTTAACTTCAAAAAGAAACTGGTTATACTTCTCAATTAATGCTGACGTTTTTTTCTCAACAAGGTCAATCTTTTCACCACCAGAATCACCGAACAAATCTCCTTGATCAACAACTAACCCAAGAGCAGCCAAAATTCTCTCCAGTGCAATCTCACATTGCTGGTTCTTCTGTACATAAACCTCCTTCTCTGCTTCTGCTACTGATCTCATAACCTTCGCATTCAGCCCTTCAATCTCTTTATCCTTCATATTAATCTCCTTGTCAAGCACCTCCATCTCTTCCTGCACACACTACAAACCTAAGTAACATTTTAAAATATAAAAATCATTGACCAATACATTAATCTTCAATGCAAAATATACACATAAATGTATCTACTAAACCTTGTATCTGATTTCGAGTTTCTCCTTTTCGTCAACTGCCTGCTCCAGCAAAGCACGCAGCCGTTCCATTTCATTGGCAAAGTGATTGTTATCATCATCTTCATTATTGTATGCACCATTATCCATTTCATCAAACTTTCCAGTGACGGCATTCGGTTTTTCTCCTAAAACAACATCGTTTTGACGTCTAGCTGGCATTCCAGTCTCCTTATTATCATTATTCATCTCATCAGAAGCATCCATAAACATATCTTCTTTGCTATCAACATGAGACAACTTAATAGATTCCGCTTCCTAAATTGATTAAAAAAAATCATAATTAAAAAATAAATATCAAATTATAGATTTTCCCTATCAACAATGAAAAAAAAAAAACCGAGATTGCAATTAAAAAAAACCTGATTAGTGGAAGACCGAGGGTAAATTGATCCATTATCAACAGCTCCAGAATTCACCGAATAGTGATTTTCAGACATTTCTACTGATCATATAAATTCATAACAATTAGAGACAGTTCCTTCTTCAATGACAAGAATCAGATCTGGAAGAAAAATCCAACGCGAAAGATTTAAAAATTAATAAATAAAAAACCTTACAAAATAAGGCGGATTAATGGATTTGACTTGAATTGAAATCCTACGGTGGATTGATGAGCTGGTGAGATTCTGATTCAGCTTGTATTCAAAGGAGAAATTGAAGCTTGCGCACAGCTGCGTAGTACTATTTCTTTTTTTTTTTTCTTTTTTTTTTTTATTTAGTAATTTTTTTTGTGCTTTTGTTTTAATTTTTGCGTTATTGTGTCGACTTCATTGATGCGTGTGAAGAAGTTCGCTCCAATCGGATGCGATCGATGGTTTGTCACGATGTCAAAGAGTTCTTTTAATAATTCATTTGTACTTATAGAAGAGCAATGTGATAAAGCATGATATGGGTTTTTGTTCTTTTATAAAATTTACATTTGATTCATTGGATATTAAAATATTATTTTATATTTTCAATTAATTTGTGAATTAATTTCATTTATTAATTAAAATATTTTAAATTTGTAAAATTATTAATTAAATTTTATTATTACAAATAAAATAAAATTTATATTAAAATATCTATTAACAATTAAACATTAATTTATAATAAAATATTTATGTAATCAATATATAAAAAAATTACTTTGGATTCAAAAGAAAATGTTTTGGAACATAGTTGATTCCCATTTTTGAATCTATGTGATTCTAAAAATAATAATTAATGTAAGAGATTTACTCAAGTTAAAAAAAAAAAAAAAACCTACTTAATTTGTAAAATAATAAAATATAATCTAAAAATTCTTGAATTGAAAAATATTTATTGATTAAGCAAAACTTATTATCATTACTTTCACGATAAATAATATTTTATTGTTTAAAAAAGATAAAAATTTAAAAATTTAAATATAGTAGCAATAATTGTTCTCTTTACTCTATTTTTGTTTCTCACTTTCATTTAATAAAATATTATAATAAATATAACATTGCATATTAAAATTTATTATCGAGAAGTTTCATATATCCAAAAAATAAGTAGTAGGATTAATGACTAGCCAATTGTTTGGCACCTAAATAGGATCTTTGCATAGAACAAAATTTTTCACAAAGTTAAACTCAATGCATAATACAAAAAGTTTAACGAATAAAATACATATATACTGTCTATAAATGATATAAAACCAATTTCTTTATTCCATAATTTTTTCTTGGCATAACAAAAAATATATATACCTCCAAAATTTGTTTTATTGTTTGAAAACTATGATCTTGATATAAAAAAATAATTAAAATAATTAAAAAATGTGAAGCAAATAAAAAAAGAGTTTAAAATAAACAATAATGTTAGAAAATAAAATTAACTAAAAACAGAATTGACATACCTTAACTTAATTGTAATATTGACCAAACCATTAAAAATATTAAGAAATTTGCATTAAAAAAATTTGAAAAAAAAATACTTGTAGGATTATTGGATGTGAAAATACATACTTTATATTTAACATGTAGTCAAAGCAAGTTCAGATTTTGAAAGTATAAAGGATATAATAAGTTATTTTAATTTATTTGAATTTAAAAAAAATCAAATATTAAAAGATTATGAGGAAATCTATGGAGATATTGAAATTTTCAAATTTAAAAAAGATATATGTATATTATTGAAAATTTTTATTTTAAAAGAAATATATCTAAATTATATTTAATTTGTATGCTTTATATATAATTAATCCAAGTATTTTAAAGTAATATACATAGGAAAGAGTCAAAAAGTTAGTAAAACTATAATGATTTAATCAAAAAATATTTATATGTAAAACTTAGCATTTGAGTTTTTGATTTGATATATATTTATTATAAGAGTTAGTTAAGATTTTTTACGATTTAAATTAAGTTAAAATTTATATAAAATTGAAATATTAGATAAACTTAATTTTTAAAATTTTAAAATTATTTGTTAAATAATTAAAATTAAAGAATTATCTTATGTATAGATTGCATATATAAGTAATCATGCACAAATGCTTATTTGGTCATATATTTAAAATTATTTTATGTGCCATCAAATTATATTATACACATAGGATTACAAGTGAGCAAATCTTATAATGTATTCTTATATGTTGTAATACAATATTATATATGAATATGATTGATTTTTCATTTAAATATTGATAAACTTTAATTCATAAATATATTTAAATAATAATTTTATCTATAGATAATATCTAATTAGATAATAATATTTAAATTTGGGTGTTTTATACCTTTATCTTTTAAAAGAATCAGATAATTACTTGATAGCTCTGGACTTAAGAAAGTCCATCAAAGTGACCAATATAGCTTATTAGAGTTTAAAAGTTATCTAACATGAATTTTCTTCTTACAGGCACTAGAATACGCTTCCTTAATTCTTCTAACATCTTTTGACTACATCAAACTTTATTAAAAGATCCGTCACTTATTTTATCCCTATTTCACCAAAACATTTCCAAATTTCAATCGAAATTCCATTTGATCTTACAACTATTTTTACTTTCATTATTCTCAAAACCTCTTAAATCTTATACATTTTGATATTCAGTTTGAACACACTATTTATATTCTTAAAAGTGCACTATGATTTCATCTGTATAAATAAATAAAACAAATTTATTGAATTTATTTTCTTATTTGTTTTTAAATCTTAATAAAAAATATATTAGCTTAAGCGATTTCTAATTAAATTTATTATGATTCGAGAAATAAAACAAAAAAGATATGTTATAACTGATTTGAAAAAAAAGAATTTACTTGATGGAATGAATAGTATGTTTAGTAAAATAGTACCTATCATCATAAAAAGTATTTTAGTTCATATAACAAGAATAAACTAATAAAAAAAGATATTAAATTAATAGTAATGAAAAAACATTTAGCTCATATGTTTTATAAAATATTGGAAAACCTATATAACTAAAAACTAACAATAATGAGAGCTTTTTTCTAAGTTGTTTTGGTATATATATATATATATATATATATATATATATATATATATTTTTTTTTTTTTTTCACATTTTTTAAAAAATATTAATATTAAAAGTTTTATAACAAATATTGATTTAAATTTAAATTTTATTTAAATTTAGATATATCTAAATTTATTTTTTAAAGCTGGTGGATTGTTTATTAAAATTATCTTTATCTACAACTAATATATTACAAAACTAAAGATAATATAAAGATTATTTATACAAAAATATATTGAAAATATTAAACAATATTTTTAAAATTTTTGATATATTTAAATAATCATATTAAGTTTAGATAAATTACTTTAAAATTTATTTTAAATTGAGAAGATGTGATATATAGGAAAAAAGAATTTCATTAGAATTTAATTAGTTTTTGATTAAATTTTAAAAATTTAGATAATTTAATCATTTTTAAAATATATTTTCTATAAATAATTTAAAATTAATAAATATCTCATGTGTCATCATAGTGAAAAGTTTTGAAAATTATCTTACTCGTAAAAAAAAGACTGTTCACGTAAATATCCATGTCAACAAATGTTATAATTATGTATGTTGTAATATAATATATATATATATATACATATACTATTTGATTTAATTCATGTATATATATAATTATAAATGATTTATTTGAATTTAATTTAATAATTTTAATTTAATATAATATTAATAACAATTTTTAATATAAACTATATCTTAATTATATAAAATATAATATATTTATTAAATTAATATCTTAAATTAAGTATTAAATAATAATTTTATTAATGTAATACATATATATAATATAAAATTAAAATAAATAATATATATATATATATATATATATATATATATACACACACCAAGCTGAGGTGAAATAAATTTACTTAAAAACTTATTCCAATCCAATCTCGATTTAAAAAAAAAATGCGAATAAACTTGAAACCTAATTTAAAAAAAAAAAAACTCTATAGAGATGGATTGAAACCTAACTATTACAAATAAATTTACCTATCTTATATGTGATAGTGAAAATTTACGATAAAAAATGAAAAAAAAAATTTTATCATGTTTTAATAAAGGAAAATCCTTAAACGAATACTGAAAGGGCAATTGTTTGTATTTTCTTTGGAGCAAAGTTATGCTAAATCGGTGCAATTATAGAAATAAAAATTGGAAGAAATTTCACCTAAAAAAAAAGTTGAACAAAATAAGAACTAAATTTATTTTCTTTTCTTAATTAAGGAGTACAATTTTAAATGTGAGCGTTTAATTTATGGAATCGGAACTATTTTTTATGAAAGATATTTAATTAAAAATATATTGACATCACATCATATATATATATATATTATATTACAATGTACATAGTTATCAAATAATAATTGTTGACGTGAACGTTTACGTGAATAGTTTTTTTTTTACACATAAAATAATTTCTAAAACTTTTTATTATGATGACATATAAGATATTTATTATTTTTAAATTATTTATAAAAAATATATTTTAAAATTTATTAAATTATCTAAAATTTAAAATTTAATCAAAAACTAATTAAAATTTTAATGAAATTTTTTTCTCATGTACATCAACTCATCTCAATTTAAAACCAATTTTAAAATAATTTATCTTTTTCAATTTATTTGGAGTTAACATGAATATTTAAATTTATCAAAATTTTAAAAATATTATTTAATATCTTTAATATTTTTGATAAATAATTATTGCATTATCTTCAACTTTTAAATATATTTCAAAAAATAAATGAGAATGAGAAAAATATATAAATGCCAGAACAACTTCAAATAAGTTTCTCCTATACACCATTTCATCTCAATTTAAAACTAATTTTAAAATAATTGATATTTTCTAATTTATCAGTAATTAACATGAATATTTAAATTTATCACAACTTTTAAAAATATTATTTAATATCTTTAATTTTTTTATAAATAATTCTTACATTATTTTCATCTTTTAAATATATTTCACCAAAACATGGACAAATATATATATATATATATATATATAAATACCAAAACAACTTTAGAAAAGTTTCTCTTGCATCTCAATTTAAAACTAATTTTAAAGTAATTTAAAGTAATTTAACATTTTCAATTTATCTACACTAATTTTAAAGTAAATTATCATTTTCAATTTATCTGAAGTAATTTATTTTTTTCAATTTATTTGCAGTTAACATGAGGATTTAAATTTATCACAACTTTTAAAAATATTATTTAATATCTTTAATATCTTTTTTTATAAATAATCCTTACATTATTTTCAACTTTTAAATATATTTCACAAATAAAATATGAAAATAAATATATAAATACTAGAACAACTTCAAAAAAACTCTAATTGTTGATAGTTCTTAGTTATATAGCTTTTCTAACATCCCAATGAACTAAATATATATTTTTTCAACCATTAATTTATTCTTTCTTTTTATTAGTCTATTATCGCTATAGGAACTAACATATTTTTTGTGATAATACGTACTATTTCACTAAATATACTATTAATTCCATCAGATAGGATTTTTTTTTTTCAAATCAGCTGTAATATATTTTTTAAAAAAACTATAAAAACACATATATTCTTATATTTTTACCTATGTTATATGCAGATCTTTTATTTTTTAACAGATTTTCAATCAATCACGTAATATATTTTGTCTTTTAACTGATTAATATTTTCCATTCGTATAAAATAAAATTGATGTTTTGATTAATTGATATAATAGAGTTTTGTACTTTAAACATAAACTTATGTTCCAGTTATACATTTAAAGAGTGAATTATTTCTCAACTCATATCCCCATTGTGAAACATATAACATAATTTCAAATCAAGAGATTATTTTTCATAAAAAATAAAATTAAAAAATAATTCAAGGATAGTCTCATAATTAGTATTAATTTTAAATTTATTTATATCTTATTTTAAAAAAATCTCAAAACCATAAAATATTTCACAAAGATTCTTGAAAAAGAAGATATGAATCCTACGATAACTTCTTAATTATGGAACAAATGATTTTTTATAGCCTTTAGCAGAATTTAAAAAGAAAACCTTATTTTTATTATGATTTGATATTTTAATTATATTATTTAAATGTTACATATAGTTTCAATATGTAAATAATTCAATAATATTAATTTATATTTTTATTTAAATTTAAATAAAATAAAAATATTTCATGCATCGCACAGATAGCAAACTAGTTTAGTTATAATTAACAAATTTTATTTAAATTTAATATTTTTTGGGTAATTTTAAGAAATTACTGCTCCTTCTATTTCCTTGTGGAAAGGAGGCATTCCACTGGGTTTCCTAACACAAACAGAATGGTTCAACAAAAAAAGAAATGGGGAACAACCTCATTTGGCTGGGAAAATTGGGTGTAGATGACTTTTGCTCGGTGTAACAAAAAGGATAATTTAAAACATGATATAGTGATATAATGTGAAAATATTATAAAAAATTATAAATGTGATATAATTTAAAATTTAATAAAAATCATATACAAATTTAACAAAATTAAAAAAATAAAATTTATATTTTTATATAAACACAAATTATAATACATAATTTTAATATAAAATATATAACTAACATATAAATTATTAATATTTTACATAATACGTATACATGGGATGGTCGTATACACAAATGATTAGAGTCATGCAGTGAGTTACAAATATAACCATTGGAATGGTCGTATCTCTAAGTCCTTACGGTATGCATGCCTTCAAATAAAATCTCGTTATACAATTGTGAAAACGCTTATTATTAACTTAGAAATTATTTTTTGTTTGTCAGATACAGTGTTGGGTGCAAACTCCGTTGTGGTTTCAAGGGCAACCAACCGGTGGGATGGGATGCTGGCCACTAGAGAAGTTTTCGAGTCTCCAATATGCCAAGGATGAAATGGGTTGTTCAGTAGTTACCAGCAAAGCCGTCCGTAATGGCCCACAATGAGCTGCTCTGGACCAGAAGGCATTGGAAGAATTTTACTTCAGAGAAAGTCTGGTTCCAAATTACACAATTCGTATATGTTGATTATTTTAACACATACAAAACAATTATGGGAAACCTTGCAGGGTTTGGGTTTTCAGATGGATCCCAGGCATGCTGTGTCGTTGGAGGTGGATTTTTCAACTTTAACTTGCACAGTTTCTGTGGTATGATTAGCACCAATACCTGCAGCAACCCATCTGGTCAGGTCCACTGGGATGAGCTTCATCTCACAGAAGCAATACATCGACAAATAACTTGGCAAAGACAACCAAATGGTACCGTTTTCAACTTTCAACAGATTGATTAAGTGCATTTGACAACATGCTGAGAAACCCATTAAGGTTAAAAAGAAGTGAATGGCGTCAACTTCAGCAGAAACAATTTTCTTAAAAGAAATTTTGTAATGTCTGAATCTTTCTCTAATCGAGGCCATTCTTTCCTCAATGACCTTCATTCATCTTTTATCTACAGTCTGATCCTTTTGTTTCTTTTTGAACCATTACGATATTGTATAGCCTGTATATCATTTTAAAGACTGAAACATCAAACTACCACCAAGTATCAACCATCTGTTTTACGCATACTTCTTCAACCAGTCACTTTGTGTATCACTTTCAACAAAAGATTAAGAGGAAATGGCAGACTCAAGTTTCAGAAATTACAGCTTCCATTAATAATTAATGAGGGTTTCTTACACTAATGTTCATTAACTTCCGAAAAGCGTAAAATGGGACTGCTTCTTTTCAGTAAGAAGCAGAGAGAATTTTCTTACCGGACTCTATTTACATTTGATGGTCGGCCTTTTCCATCTGCACACTATTTAAAAGAACTTCAAATCAAATTAGGTAATCTTTTGGAAGGCTGTTGATGTAGATGTAGAAACGCAACAAGTCCTCCTTGGAAACAGTTTCATTGTCGACCACATCATCATTGCAAGTAAGTACCCATAAATCTTCAGAGTTAACTCTTTTCATGCTCCCACGGCAAAATGGACAGGACTCTGATTTTGTGTTCCTATAATTTGAAAAGAAAAACCATTAAGGGTGAAACTTGAAAACATGGGGGTGTAAGAGGAATGGCATGAGGTTTTCAGTTACCAATTGCGGTAGCATCTGATGCACATTGCATGACAACAATTAGGCATGACCATTTTGGTGCAAGGCTCCAAGCAAATCCCACATTCATCTTCCCTCTCCAAATCAATATTCCCAAGTCCATCATCTAATTCAACTCTTTTCTTACCAGAACACCCCATGGTAAAATGCCCTTCCTTATCATCATCCAACACCCCCAAGTTACCATGGAGCCTTTGAAGTGATGGTAATATAACACCTACAATTTAGTTAATTAACAGAAAGGGATAATGGTAAGGTGAATGAATCATTATAGCCGAAATTCATGGTGTCATATAAACAAGAAAAAAAAAACACTCAAAATATTATTACATGCATACCATAAAACTCTCTAATTGTTGCCTTCCTTCCATGTGTAGATATCTTTGATCTCCCGTCCGTATATACCTGTAGCAAATAAGATAGAAATGAACAAATGGCACATAGAAATATGTATGTAAATAAATGTGAACCATCCTTTAAGAATCAAAATAAGTGAAGGAAGACAAACGAACCTTGTATACAAGTATGTGAAAGAGGTTTTGATATCTAGGGAGTAGACATATGCAGGAAGAATCCATCCATTGTAGCAAAAATAGAAAGAGGGGTGTCAAATGATTGTACACCAATTTCATTCGAAGATGTGCACCACTGTTGGCTCTTGGTATTGCAGCAGCCCTAAAGCCCCAAAATTTTATTAAATTTTGCTTAGAAGAATTAAAATGAAGACATCTAAATTACATTCTAACCTAATCATCCAAGCATCATAATAACCTAAAGTTAGACCAAAGAATAAAGCCAAACTTCCCAACTTCTTTTGTTTTTGATGAAAAATTCTATCATAAACGTGCTAATTTTTTTTTATATATAAAGGAGGCCACAGCCTGAGGATAAAGTAAGGTATTGCAAGTGGTGGGATTTGAAGCCAAACCTACTGGATAGCAAGTGGTTGCATCACTAAGCTCCGGGTTGATAAGCATGCAAATATTAATAGACCATTAAATTACTGAAATTTACTTCAGTTCCTATTAGGTAAAGAAACATCAAACTACCAACAAGTCCAACAAATAGGCAGACAGAGATTTTAGCTGGTATAAAAATTGCCAGCCAACAATCTACAATTCTAGACTATTTGCTAAAAAATCCGCAACTGGTTATGCCTTCCTACAAAGTCCTAGTCAGAGCACAATTATATCATCAGATCAGGCCAACCAAGTTTATGATAAAGAGTAAAGAACAACATAACATTCCAAACTGGGTAATTTTCCTTTTTCTTTCGAAACTAGCAGAGCAGCAAAAGAATTAAGCTTTTTGATCATGATCATGAAAAGCACCCCAACCAACTAATAAACACAAACAACAAGACCAAGTCAACAACCTACTTAAGGAATGGTGAAGGGAAAAAAAAAATCAAAATAATAAATTTGCCAGAAAACTAAAAACCCAGAAAGGAAAACTTACAAAGCATTTGCATGTTGTATATCAGCCTCTAGTATTTTCAAAGAGTCTTGATAAGAACACTTGGACAACTGATAATACATCATCCCCATCTCTTTCACTCTTTCTCTTAACAAAAAAGGAAAAAACAGAGAAACAAAGAAACCTTGTCAGGGTATAAGAATCTACAAAGATGAGCAACAGGGTCTTTCTTTTTTGAGACCTTATCCTCCCCAAAGACTACAAAGAACAAGAAAAAAAAGGGTCTTTTTCTTCTCTCCTGCCCTTACCCTTCTCTTCGCATCCTTTTTGTGATTCGAAGGAGGCTCCAGTGAATAAAAAATATTGTAGTAATAATTATTCAACATGAAAATAAAAAGACTAATCCTTTTCTTTGGGTTTGGTTTTGTTCCTTAAATTTTTATGATTAAAGAAAAGAGTGAAGAATACGGTATAAAAAAATGCGTTTATTTCAATGTCTTACTTATTTCTCTTGTTCTTGTCTTAACCTTTGTGTTTTTTTTTTTTTTTAATTCTTATTTAGTAATAACATAATCAGATTACAGTTAATATGATAATTTTTTTAATATAAGGTCATAATTATAACCATAGTATCAAAATTTTATTTTATATAAAAATTTTAAATACAAAACAAAATGATAAAAAAATAAAATGTCACATTTAAAATTTTAAAAAATTATTTTTGAAAAAATGAAAAATAAATTATATATTTTTATATGTTAATTTTAATGTTTTACATATATTTAATATGAAATAAATATAATACGAAGATATGAATTATAAATTTAATTTTATATATTATTTTAGAGTTTTATAATATAATAATTGTTCATCTATTCAACAAAAAACAATAATCAAAAGGTTTGTTTGAATTTCCAAAACCCTTGATTGAATATTTTATTGAAGTAAAAAAGGGTTGGCTATGTTTAATTTTAAACAATTGTTGTGACAGTTAGATTTCTGTTTCAAAGAAATCTAAAAAATCCAAAATCTATGGTCAAAATTATATTTTGTTTGAACAATGAATTTAAAAATCGAAAAGAAATAGAGTATTTGTTTATTATATCCTACAAAAATAATTTATCTTCAGTAAAGATGTTAATTTAATGAAAAAAACATGTAATTATTAACATTATCATCTGTTTGTCAATGTTTTTGCTTTATACCAAAGTTTTAAAAAAGGACAAATCAGAAAATTCACTTAAGGTAATTTATATTCGATGGTACTAATAATTATATGAATGTATGACAAATCCTTTTTGTGCTTTTAACACAATCATCATTTCCACGTGGTTCTTTTCAGTTTTGACATTATAACTTTCCCATTCTCTACATTAGCAGTGAGTTTTGTGAATAGAAATAAGAACGGGGTGGATATGCGCTAGTTTTAAAATATTTTGTTTAATATTTAAAATATTTGAAATTATTTAAATTTAAATTCATTTAAATGAGTATTATCTGTAAAAATATTTGAATTTATTAAAGTATTTGTTTATTTAATTTATTATTAAAAAATAAAATAAATAAAATTTTAATTTAAAATTTCAATTCATTCTTAATTAATAATAAAAAATATTTTTTAAAGTTTTAAAATTTTCACAAATATAAAATTAAATATTTTATATATAATGAGTTACGGATTCAAATACGAATTCAGATATCCATTTATTTTCATTAAAACTTAAATGGATTGAAATATTAGATATCTAGAAGATATATCCATATTCACTCTCAATTTGTTATGAATAATAAATTATTATTCAAATATATTAATTTAAAAATTTTTAGAAATTTAAAATTTTTTAAAAATTCTTAAAAAATTTAAAAAAATTCTAAAAACTTTAAAAATATATAAAATACTAAACTTACAGAAAATTTTTAAAAATAAAAAAGAACTAAGGAAACTTTAAAATTTTCCAAACTTCCCGATTCCAAAATAATCCAAAGATTTAAAAGAAAAAATGACTATTTTAATAAATTTAAAATTTGTTAAAATTTAAAAAACAAAAAATAAACTAAAATTA